GAACTTTCTACAAGGAAATATGAGAGTCAAGCCAAAAGCGATATTTAGAACTGAAAGAAAGCAAGCATCAAGTCATGAAAGGAGGAATGATGAGCCATGGTCAAAATCATTAAATAAAAGTATTCAAGGTATATTTCCTTGGAGTACACACTGTCACACACACACACACAAACAAAATCAATGCACTGATGGAAGAACTGAGTTTTGATTTGCTCCTGAATTTCTGTCATCTGTCAGGAGACTTTTTGGTCTGACACTGCAGATCCTACATGAACAGTGCTGATACTGGTCTTAATGAAAACTTGGCTTAGAAAGAACCACAGTCAATGCAGCTGCTTCCTCCTCCACATTTTGAAGATTAAAGATATTAGAAGTAAAACACAGAAAATGATTCATGGCTCAGAAATCGAACTTGTACTGGGAAGGTAAAAAGCGTACACTGGAGGAGATGGAAAATCCATAAATCTGAGCTGTGTAAAAAACATCTCCCCCTTAAATTCTGTCTTTATTATAGCAGAAATGGGACAAAAGAAAAATACACTCAAGGAGAAAGGCAAATCTACAGCAGAATAGTCAGCCTGTTCTCCTCTGGGCTTATAAACAGCAGACTCAAATAAAAATCCTTGGAAGTCCTTGGGAAAAGGATACTCTTAGCAGGCTACAAATATAGAAATGGAAAAAAAAACCAGTATTTTCCTAAGGGGAATGAAGAGGAAGTCTTGGTAAGGTGCCAAAAGTCACAAAATTGATTCTGATTCAAAATGATTATTGATGAAATCTCTGTAGCAATAGCCCCAACACAGTAAGCTAAGATCTTCAGTTTGGTTAGAGAAGAAATTACCACATCCATTTCTGCAGCCTTGATCTACCATCTCAGGCTGAGCTTACACAGAAAAATAACCCCACGTACTTGTGTCACTGTGTAACGGGAGAAGAATTAAGATGCCCATCTGCATTACAGTGGAATAACATGAAAAGTTGGACAAGGTCTTTCTACTATTGGTCAGACAAGGTCAAACGCAGCAAAGGCTGAGGAGTACAGGTGCTATTATATTAGTATTAGTGCAACTGTAATAGGTCTCTAAAGGGATTTTAATCAAAGATATTTGAACAGTAAAGCTGTTTAATTAATGGTTCTACACTGGCTCTCTTTTCTAGATCCTGCAAAGAATATATTCACTTGAGAAAAAGAAGAGCAGTTTCCTTACCCAATTTTACTACTGAGTTTCAGGACTGGTTTTCCCTTTTTAATTCCAGCTCAGCTTAGAGGATCTTGAGAATCTGCAGATAAACTGTCCTTGCCATTCTGTAAATACAATGCTCACACAGCAGTGTCCAGGAAGGACAGCTTTGCTTTAAGTCTGGGTAGATTTGACATTTGCTCAAAATCCTGGCTTGATCTTTGGATGCAATACAATGTCCCAAACCCCACCAAATTCATATCCTGGTTATGCACCTGCTCTCCATAAAATTGGACAAGTCTGGTCTCCTGGTAAGTCATCACTTAGAGAAATCATAAATGATTTAGAAATCACTAAAATAGCAAACAGAAAAAGGGGCTTCCTGGATATTTTATCCAAGGTACAAGACAGGCTCCAGGCAAGATTTATGGGATTTTTGCCACCATGACCAGATGAGTCTTCTTCATTCTGGTATAACACGGCAGCTTAAGCAATCTTTAGAGGGTTAGTAAAGGTCCTTTTGGCTGACTACTTTTCAGGATGCAAACAGTGCTTTGTGAGGTGTAGTTAAATATGAAAAGTACTTCTGGAACACAAAGATGGATAATCATGCATGGCCAAGTTTTCGGGTTTTATTCCCAGCAACAGCCACCAACCAAGCTTGCCCAGAGCAGCCTTAATCAGGTCATAAATCAGTGGAATAGAGAAATGAAATTGTCCTTTGTGGGACCAAAAGAACATCCATATTTCTGAAAGAAGAATCTAGGGATTTCTGCAATTACAATTCTGCAATGAGTGTACCACATTCCTGATGCTCCTTGGTCCATGTCAAGCAAACGGCACTGAGTTGAATGATTTTCAGATTTACTTTGGTCGGTCAATAGTGTAGGAATGGTTTATGTTGTGGCTCTCATTGATGAATTGATTCTTTCTGAATTTGACGGGTATGGAAAGAAAGGAACTGCATGAAACAAGTATCTTTTTCTTCTTTAATCCTCCTTGCCCTCAAATAGCAAGCTTTCAGCTGTCTGTTCTTATGGACTGCAAAGGCCAGCAGCTCTGCTGTACTCCTGCAGTCCTTAGGTCCAGTTGTGACTGGGCCTAGGTGATCCACCAGTGTCTCTAGATGTTACACAGAGGTAGCTATGAAGTACATGGCAAATTATACTGTAATTCTCATGTGAGAATATGGCGCGTCATACGCTCCAAAGTATCACTAGACTATGAGCTGATACTGTTGTATGTCCATGAAGTGGACAACCCCCAGGGCAATAGGAGAGAAGCCGTCACAGGACTTCAACAGCAGCGACAAAACCTTCTAAATAGGTAAATTTTTATCTGACTGCTCAGGCACTCTTACCTTTTCTACCTTCCTTCCAACCAGAGCAATAATCTCTATTTCTTTGCCTGTCTTTATACCTCTAACTGAATTTTGTTTACCACCTTCAAAAATTACACAATAGCTACATACAAAATACATGCAACTGAAATTGCTGTGCTGTTGGGAGTCAACATCTTTTAATGATGCTGACTTTGATGCATGCAATATATCCAATGTGGATTAATTGTTTTTCAACATCCCTTTCCACAAGTTCATCACTTTGGATCTTTCTTTCCTTTGGAACAAAAGCACATTTTGAAATTTGGGAATTTTCCCCAGCACAGAAACCTTGTTTTCCACAAGATCTAATCCATGGTGAGACAGTTCTGGTCTGGGGAACAGCAGCCGTTGTATATGGTCAAGAAAGAACATGAAAGAGAATGCTTAGTAAATGCACTGGGAATATAAAATGGGTGCTTTTACTAACTGTCAAGGACTGGGTTTATATTATCTCCCACGAGAAAACTTACACAGGTTTTTGACAATAATATATGGTCATGGAAGTAAATTTAAATTTATTCATAGGCAAAGGTTTTTTTTAAACTATAAATCATATCCGTGAAGTTAAAAAAAAAAAAAATTCAATGAATCAGGATGCTTGGAATATAGCCGTTCAGTTTCCCAAATGGCTGTGTCACTCAGTCAACTCTCATAAAGGCTCCTGTCTGCTCAAATGAGGTTTCATTTATACTCATATTTAGAAATGGTTCACACTTTAGAGGCTGATATTTCTAGCAGCACTCAGATTTAGGATATGTGGAACACAGGTGCAACAAAGATGCTATTCATTATTTCATAGTCATCAATTTTAATGGCCTCTTACCAAAACATTTGTTAAACGCAGCTGAGAAAGAAACACACACAAACTGACCCGTGATTAGTCAAACACCATAAATAACAAGCACCAAATAGATGACGTGCAAGTTTGCAAACGTCCCACGATATTTTTTTCACAGAATCATAGAAACAACAAGGTTGGAAAAGGCCATTAAGATCATCAAGTCCAACCATTACCCCAGGACTGCCAAGGCCACCACTCAAGCATCAACACAGTTTTGGAACACTTCCAGAGATGGTGATTCTGCTCGTTAGGCATCAGATTCATTAACAAAATCAAGAGGAATCATTTGCACAATCCAGAAAGACCACAAACAGAAAATGAGGCTAAGCATATTTGCTTGTATCACTGTGCAATGGCCTAGAGTTTTGAGGCACCAGACTGGGACCCAAACAACTTTCGCACTCATCCTGCTGGATGACTCTGAGTGTGTGATTTCCTCTCAGTTGGGATTAATTGCTTTAGCTTAAGGAAGGAATAACTCTACTGACCTTCTTTGTAAAGTACTTAGAAACACGCAGATGGGAAGCATGTAGCTGCAAAGCAGCATAGGAGGAAGGACAAACCATACTCATCCCTGCCATACCATGTTAGACGCTGCTTACAACCAGGTTGCTCAACCTGAATGTTCGATGCCCACCCATCACTGCAATCTCATAGACTGACTTACAGTACTCTTTTACCAGCATCTGAGGATGGATTTTGTATTCTTTACAGACCATGAAAACACCAGTTATTGTAAATTAAATCAGGCAACCTTTCGTTACTGCAGCTCTTGTAACAGAATGTCCTTCAAATACAGAGGACAAATCTAACTTGTGTGCCAACTGCATACAGTTTAAGTTTTCAAGTGCGATTTTAAAAGGGCCTTAAGCAGTTGCTCTCCCTTCGGTGGTGAATTTCACCTTCTGAAATATCACAGAGATTGAAGGAGGCATACAATCCTCCTCATTGCAACCCAACTTGTGTGTGTGTGTGAGAGAAGTGGAAATTTATCCATTATACTGATTTACTCTACCACTTGCTGATCAAACTGGAGGACATGCACCTCCTACCAGCGCTCAGCCTGGACATCAGAGGTTACCACAGAAAACTCTCAGTGTTTCACATGGAAACATCTAGCCCAGATATGATTAACACTTGATAACAATCCTGTCAAATTTTATACACCTTTAAAGAGAGTTTACAGCAATAAGGTTTGCCACCATGCTACTATGTGTATCCCATAAACACAATTTACAGTGATAGGCATATCAGTGATAATGACGCTGACAATAGCAGTCAGCAGAAGCACAGACGTTGAGGAATATTCTTAGACAACATGTATTACTGCTTATAGCTCCAGAAACTTAGTTGAATACTAGAAGTTGCCACCTTTACTATAAAATAAAGACAAATATTGGTATTTCAAATGCAAAGATGAACCACTTTAGGTGCACCTTCATAGACAAAATTTCTCAAATCACGTATGTTTTCACAGAATAAAGTGTCTTCAGGGACACACTTCTCTGAATTTGCATAGGGTGTCTAAAATGTCACCAATTTACAATTCAGTTTGCTTTCTATGCAGGAGTAAATGAATGAAAATCAGTCAACTTACGATCTCCTTGACAACGCACGGGACCCACAGATACCTTGGCTTCAGACCCAGGCCGGTCAATGTCTCCAACCACTATCTGACTCACTGGTAGGTGCTCTTTGTATGACAACATCCCAGTGTCTTTTCTCCTGAATGACAGAGAAAAAAGGAAGCAACTGTGAAATAGATGAAAATAATTTCCTTGAACATTATTACTGCTCAATGAACTAAGCACCAAGAGAGCAGGTATGCAGCTGTTACACCAGTACAGTGTTACCCGCCTCAAACAACATCAGTTCGAGCAATAATGCTGTCTGTTTACTGGGAAACAAATGGATAGCAGCTACTGTCACCCAGGAACACAGGCCGATTAGCATGGCCAGTCCTGGACTCAGCTGGGCTTGTGTGGGTCTCTCTGCTTTCCCAACTGACCAGATCCATGCTAGTAGCTAACAACTTGCTGTTGATCTTCCTGATGATGTCTTCTGAGAGGGAAAGATACCCTAATGCTTCCCAGAAGTGTATCTTTATTGCTCTAATTGCTGCCAGTTATTTTACCTCTGCATACCAAGTGCTTCTTTTATATTTAACATTTTTAGTATTAAAGGAGGGAAATAAAAAACTGATTATCTGGAAGGCTTGTCATAGTCCTGTCATTTCTACTACTAAATGACTAAGTCCAAAAGCTCTAAACTTGTGAATCTAACCATGAGTATAGAGTTAAAACCGCACTTTAGTTAGCAAGATCACTAAAATTCAAATTATAGTCATGTCTAAAAGCTCCTCATTTCACCTGCAGTGAAATGCAGTAACCTGGTGCCTTTTTCATGCCTAGGTCAAATCACTAAGAACAGTTACAACACGTATCCTTTATCATTTCAGAAGCTGAATGCAGCTGGCATGTTGAGTGCCCTTTCTTCCAAATAGCAAATAAAATAAACCAAAATATATCAGATACTTTATCTCTCAGGTGCATTTTTGTTTATTTTTTGTTTTCTTACTGTTTGCTTGGCTCTTTTTTCACATAAACACATGGAAGGCCACAAATATCCACACAGGAAAAAACGCACCACATACAGTGTTAGGAATATGCTTTTTGACACAAAAGAAAGAGGAAGCAAAATTAAACCATCTTTTTTTCCTCTTTCTTTTTAGCTGTATCTTGGCATGCAGTTAAGTATCTAAAGTAAGCAACTTCTTGATCCAAAAATTAATTTCTTTGTTCAAAAATACCATAGGATGAGGAATGAATTTAGGATCTGGAAAAGTTACTGAAGAGCACAATATGACTGTAACTGGGAACTCGTAAGGATTTCAGGAAACTGAAAGTCTTTTTCATCTCTAGTTTGGATGGTTCCATGACCTGACTCATATTGCTAATAACTAACTGGGAAGCACAGCAGGGATCTGCATAATGTATAATAATGCTTGGAGTTTTCCAGCAGCACAGTAGTATTTTCCAGTAGTGTCCCCAGTCATCATCCTTAGTGGGTCCTTCTGAAGAGGTTGTTGGCAAAACATTCTTTGTAAAAGCAGCACAACTGAAGTAATTAAGAAAACAACCATCACAGATCACTGGAACTCTTGTCTGCTCTCTGTGATGAAGAGAGTCATTAGAGATTTAATTACTAGAGTTTTTCAAATAGGAGATGACTGTTTTCCTGAATCTGCATGTTCTTCCCCTTCAGAGCACTTGCCTCTCTCCATGGGCCCTTTGTACTGCTGAGATCATTAACCCTCTCTGGTTGGACACAGCTATACCAGGTGCTGGATTGGTGAGGCTGCACCAGGGGACCGCTAGGAAGGAAGACAAATGGAGAGGAATAACCCTCACAGGCTGCTTCTGCAGATTGTGCTAGGCTGTAGCGTACTGCTTTTCATCCACAGATTGCAAAGCCCTTTACAAAGGTACTGTATTCATCAATTTGGAGACAGGTGATATACGAAAAGGAAGATTAAAGGACTTTCCCTTTAAGGAAGGAAAGAGTGAATACAAAGCCATGTATATAGACCTAATCTTCCATTGCTGCTAAAGACCTGTATTCATGGGACCCACTCCATCCTAATAGAGGATAAACGTAGGTCATCTCTTTACTCTTTCTGAGATTTCCCTCTGAGACTAGCTTTCTCTGTCGATCGTTACTCTTTCAAAGAATGCTTTAAAGATGGACCTGCCTGTTGAAAAGAAAGAATTCTTCAAAGACCATTAAAAAGAAAACTATTGGCATTTCTCTTCTTCCCTTCCTCTCTCACAAAAAGGGCTAATATTTCAGCTCCAAATAAGGATGTCAAAGGGCTGCCCTTTTCCTGTCACCAATAGCTTTCACCTCCTTTGAAGGAAATAAAAAGGAACAGTAACACTTTTCTTCCTCTTTACTGACCATGTTTCTACTAATTTTAATATCTGACTTATGTGTTTAGTGATACGGTCACTTTAAGGCTGTTGCCATGACAATAAAACTAAATGTTAAGAGTTCTGTTCAGAAATAGCCTTATTTTCTGATAATTGCTTACTTGTCTCATCATCATTCTCAACTGCACAGAAGCTCTTGAGGGCTCGGAGTACTGGACAAAGAGTTAGGGAAAGGGAGTTGTCTTTTCTTCAGCAGATCCTGCATAGTTTGTTTGCTCTTAACAAAAAAGATAGCTTTTGGTCAACACGTGCACCAAAAAGACATATACACTTAAGACACTGTGTGGCTTTGTGATGCTTTTCTATGGTACTTGTAGTTCCTCTGGACATAGCAATAGGTGCTGACAAAGTCAAAAAAGTTATAAACCAAAGACTGAATATAATGCTTGACTTTGTACTACACACTTAGAAATAATCACAGCTGGAGCACTCAATTCCTGCAAGTGATAATGTTCCTGCCGGTATTTAAAGACTTTGCACATTAAGAGGGTGGAGAAAACCTCTGAAGTTTTCCCTCACCAAAGAAAATCCCCTTAAGAGAATAAAGATTGAATTCAGAGTGTGTCATATTCCTATTAATAACCAAATGGGAGATGAATGAATCTGATCAAATCCTGTAATTATTACCAGGAGATATTGATGAAATCTCAGTGTAATTTTCTATTTCTAATTTCTTTGCCTACATATAACAGTCTGCAAAGTGCTTCAGGCTCCCTTTGAATGAAAGCAGCAGATATTAGTGTAAGATTTATCATTGTTTTGATTATGATCATCTACTTACTCTTTATAAGCATTCTGTGGTATGCATATATCAGCAAATGAGATATTCAAAGTAATGATAAGATTCTGTATTGCTATTAATTTGCTTACATGATGATTTAATACAACCAGACTTCTGTTACTGGATTGATTTATTTTCTCCAATTTCTTTAGACATCCCTTAATTACCAGTCCAGTCCTGTAGGGAAACAAATAAAGAATGTACCACAGGTACGAATGGAGTTGATTTTAAAAGAGATGCTTACATGAGCTGAGGAACAGGAATTGTTTTGAGAATACAAATAAAAAACCTACTGGATTGAAACTGCAGTGTTAAACACATATTATTTAGCATCAGAGACTGTAGTGATAGGACAGGTGATGGGTTTCAACTTCAATAGGGGAAGTTCCGGTTAGATATAAAGAAGAAGTTCTTCCCTGTGAGGGTGGTGAGGCCCTGGCACAGGGTGCCCAGAGAAGTGGTGAATGCTCCATCCCTCGCAGTGTTCAAGGCCAGGTTGGACAGAGCCTTGGCTGACATGGTTTAGTGTGAGGTGTCCCTACCCATGGCAGGGGGTTGGAACTGGATGATCTTAAGGTCCTTTCCGACCTAAACCATTCTATGGTTAGCTGTGGTCTGACGAATAAAAACTCCCACATGCTCCCATTTCAAAGGTATTCAACTGACCACCCCTCTGAAGACTCAGATTTTTAGTATGCAAGCACCTTTACTGTAATCCCCGAATTTCCATGATCTATCTGAGAGAGGTATAAAGCAGTTTTGTCCAGCTAGTATCTGCATGTGACTGTAAAAAACATTGTGAAGGGGATTGGTGTACCGAGCATTAGCATTTTCTCTCTTCCAGAAATAACTGGCAAGAATTTTATTTATATTTGAACTGCTAAGAAGAGCTGGTAATACAGAGAATTTAATGAACAATGCCATTTTGGCAGCAGCCTTAACAATCTGGAAGTGAGTTTCTTGGAAATATGCAAGTTCTAATTAACAGGATTAAAACAAGGGCAAACAAAAGCTAGGATTAAAGCAGAACTAGCTAACTTTTGAAAGGATTTGATGAAAGTTAGTTAACTTTCTGTGATGTACATACCATGGAGCACAAAAGTCATACTTTTAGATTCACCCTGTTCCCACAGCTCTGCGCTTCTAAGGAATTATAAACTGCCAACAATATAATCCAAGATGAAAACTTTTTTCTACTCGAATTTGCTGTTCTCTGGGATTCTTTACAGGTCCCTTTCGCACCTTAGATACCACCCTTAAACATTAAACTGGAGCTAATGACTCTCCCTTACTGTGGCTGCCAAGGGGTATTATGAAAAAAGTCTCGTTACTTTATGGGATAGTATAAACAGTCAGAGAGTCATAATTCAACTTTTTTTCCCCACACTGGCATTAGACAGGCTGAAGTCCTACAAAGTATGTTGTTCTCGTATTCCTAACAGCAAAAGAAGTTTGAACTCTTAAAATTAAGACTGATCTTAAGGCAGTTGAGCTGCTTATCTAGCACACAAACAGGAAAGAGTGCCAACCTTCAGCAACATGCACTTCACTACGACGTAACCGGTATTTCGCTTGGGTAATCACAACCTATATGCAAATACAACTGCTAGGTGTGTGGTGCAAAAAGGGGTTGTAAGAGGTTCATTTCAGTGGAAAATGGTGAAGTAAAACAGGGAAGCAGTCTGGATGTTTGTTTTTGAGAGCTCTCAAGAAGAGCTCACCTTCTCACCTCCATCTAAATGATACAACGAAAGACTGAGTGATCCCAGCACCCAAATTACTAACATAAATATGTCCATCCTTTGCCTTCGATTAGTAAAGACTAATTCCGTCAAACCCATGAGGCTGATGGTGTAGCAAGCATAAGTAATCCTTGCTTAGAAATTATACGAGATTGATTAAATTATTTTAGACTAATTTACTATACAAGCATAATGTTCATAACTAGTCCCACA